GGGGTTAGGTGCACTTTAAAAGTTGTGAAAACAATGCAAATTCAGAAAAACGAGTTATGAAGTGTTTCCTTTACAATTGAATATAAATCCTATGTGTCCTAGTGTAGTCAATCAACAAATCTGCGTACAGGCTGCTTTTCAGCATTGAACAGCATTAAATTGGTTTACCAGTATGAACCTTAAGTTAAAAACACACTGTCAACTGTCTAAATGATTCTAGAACAAGAAAAATTGTCACCAAAACAGTTCACTAGGTGAGTAAATTGTCTTCATGGTGATCAACTACACTCCAATTGTGTCAAACTACAGCATCTGCTTGATCTACTGGTCTGCCAGTTTACAAAAACGTGACAGAGTGATTAAAGGCAAAGAGGATCTAGTGAAATTTGTCCCATCCATACCTACAACTTGGAACTGAATCCTTCATTTTCCAAGTTTAAAATCTCTGAGATATTTCAATGCCCGTTCCTATCCCCTCCATCTATCCATTTTCTGGTGAATCTCAGTTACCTTGAATTCTGTTGACACAAACCAGGTACAACTGTTTGGGAACAGGCAAACTTCCCTCACTATGCTCAGTAACCTGTGTCAAAACTACAGAGAAATTCACACAGTGGTACTTTTAGTTCAAGCAGTATTACTATGGTCTTCCATATTGGAGTATCACTTAGCTGCTGCACAGCCCACATGGTAGCCAGAGACATGAAAAACAGAACTTGTTAACAGATCAAGAGTCTTCACTTTGAAAGACTAGCAATCACTTCAAAATGTGTTAAAATGAAGCAGTCTGACAAATCAAAAGCCTTCCCAGTAATGAGTGACACTGATATCAGCCTTGCAGAAACAATGGTTTTAAGGTGGCCGAACACAGTTTTTGCGCATGCTTTTGCTGATCCAATTCAGCGCGTGCACAAGTATCGCAAAAAACAAACATGCCGTCAACAGAGCGATTATTTTATTTACTCAACACTCGCCGTATCTGTGCTATTTTTCTCTATAATTGAAGGCAGCGTATTGATGGCTTTAGTCTTTTATTACAAAGATATCTTAGAATAGGTAACGATGCAAAGAACCCAGCAATNCAAGTGAAAAAGGGTGGTTGCAAGGACCCATCAAAATCTAACTGCTGGAAACTTTTTTGAGCCACCTTAAGACTCTCTGTTGAACAGCATGTATTGCAAGGGTTTGTTTTGCCTTGATTCAGTCACTGAAAAGAGCATCAAAAAACTCAAAAGGATTTGGGGTATTTTGGGACTCAAATATAATTTACTTGTAGAAACAGGTATAATATGATTGCTTTAGATGCCAGTTGGCTTAGAACTGCTGTATTTTGAAATTCTGACCTTGTGTCGCGAGGTGACAAGTGTCAGCTAAAGAGAAGGAACTTTTCATTGATAAAAAATTTCACAAAATCTTGTCAAAGTTAACCTAAAATTGAATGAATCTACAAGTGATGATATAGCTTTTTCTGAAGGCTAATAATGAACTAGGCAATGACACCATTACAATGGAAAATAAAATCAATTCTCTGTCACTTACTGCAGCAAATGGGAGTATTTCTTTCTGTATCCAAGTACATCTTCCCTACTGTTTCTCCACAGATCCCGAACAGATTTTCTCAAATAATTGTCTTAAGAACTTTTATGGTCTAAACCTTCCACAAGGGTTCTTCGCAAATGACATCGTCCTGGCTGTTGTTTAGCTTCTTAAATATGTAACAGACAATTTACTACCAATTTATTGTTCTCCTAAACTAATTGCCCTATCCAAAAGAGCAGTATTGGAAATCAAATTAGATTGTCCAGATTATCACAGATTGAAATAGCTACTACAAAACACTTCAAAACAAAGGTTTTTGTATCATAGAAAGCACACAATGCATGCCATTCGACAGAGAGTCTGAAAATGAAAAAATGTAATGTCTCTTTCTGTAAAAGAAACAATCTCCGATTAGTTCCTACATTGTTGTTTCTCAACATTATATTTTCAAATTTTTGTTTCTTGCATGCTTGAAACATCACATAAAATTGGGGAACATTTACAGCATTTGTCACAACCAATAATGAACAATGACAGCTGCCAATTAGTTTTTTTTGGAGAGGGGAGGGCACACATAAATTAACACTATATTTGTATCATACTTTTCTATAAAGTGAAAGAGAAACTTACATTCTAAAGCACCTAAAAGTATATTCTGCAGAACAGTGTAATCCTCCTTCACAAAGACAACAGGATCTTCAACTTTCTTATACTGGAGCATTACTGGCAAAAAATATGAAAGATGGTTAAAATACTAAAGGTCAAGCACATATTCGGCATATTTGAGTTCTCTCTCTTTTGATATGTCTAATAGAACAAGGAAATTGTTTCAAATTTGACAGGAAGTTCTTGGCTTGCTCTACAAGGTAATATATTTGGATCAATTTTAGTTTCTGGGCACCCGAGGTTGAATCATGGTAATCGGCCTCAATATCCATATCGACCACCATTACTAATCAACCTCGGCTGGTCGTGTTCGATTTGTGGCAATACAGCTCAAAAAGAATCAAGGACGGTATTGACTGATCATGCTCGGTAGACAGATGAACCTCAGATCACAAATCGAGCTCAGTTGCTTTTGAGCTTGATGAGAAAGTGCAGCTGTTCTTTTCTGGGGGATCCGTACGGATTTATGAGCTTGATTCACCAGCGCATAGACAATCGAGCTCAGTTCCCGTTTAACGCAATCAGGTGCAAATCAAGCTAAAATCGGATGGTCGGCAAACTGAATTCACATGTGAAAGAACATGTGAGTTTATATCAAAATAGCTCCATATTGCAGATCAGCCATTGAGTGCCCAGAAATCTACAAAAAATGCCGTCAAAGAAACACAAAATAACGAGGTCGAGCTTGAAAAAAGTAAGGATTAAAAAGTACATTGTGCCATTGGCTAGCTGTTATAGCCAATAGAAACCAGACATTTTCGATCTGTGACAAGGGTACACACCACGAGGAGTTTGTGCCAAGCCGCAGAATGTCTTGCATTCTCACAGAGGTACGAGTTGTGCTAGCTACTTCAGACGTACAGAGTACTTTAGAAATACCAGCAACTGATGAGATCCACATGGAGGATCGAAACCATGGTCTTGCCTTAACTAAGCCGAACAATGACATATAAACCGCGCAAAACAGTCAACAGGAATGGCGCGTAAACAGCTACATTTGAATCATATGGTGCCAGAACAACCAAAGGAGGAATAAACCTATATATCGAGCAAGAGAAACATAAGCTCAATCAGATAGCTGCAAGAAACATAACAATGTCTGAAAGTGAAGTATGATCATCGCAGTAAATTTTCCAATTTAAGCAACTGGAAAGAAGAAGCCTGAAAAAAATCAGGGCTTCAACGGGATTCGAACCCGNCAATGAGTCGACATGCAGATAACAGCGGAAATCAGGTAGGCCTATCACTTGTAGAACTTTGCCATAACACGATCTAACGGCTCAACTCCACTTAAAATTCCTCCTTATAACACAACACAAGTGCCCTTCATAAACACGAGTGAAGCGACAACAATGGTTGGGTGACCGAACAGAGAACGGCAAATGTACAAATGTCACAAACTGTAGAAGTTGTGTAGGCTAGTGAACCCCATTTTACACTAACAAGGCCTAATGTGAAGACAAAAGTAGCAAACCCTTTACGAGAAGTAATCCGATCAAGAAAGGGTAAACAAATGCCAAAATTTCCTACCTTCTTTGACTTTTCTTGTACATTTACAAGTTGCAGTTTGGTAAATTTCAGTCTGATCCGCAGCTCACTTGATACCAGTCCCTTTGCGAGAGCTTCTTTTATTTCTTTGCACCAGTCTCCCTTTCACTTTAACAATCAAGCTCGATGTAAAATACATTCACGCACAAATCCAGTCCTGCTTGATATAATTCGAGCTTGATAAAAATCTAATCAGGCTAGAAGAAAAAGATCAAGCTCCATATAGCATGGCATGGATCCCCCGGAAAAGAACAGCTGCACTTACACATCAAGCTCAAAAGCAACTGAGCTTGATTTGTGATCTGAGGTTCGTCTGTCTAACAAGCACGATCAGGTGATACCGTCCTTGATTCTTTTTGAGCTCTACTGCCACAAATCGAACATGACAAACTGAGGCTGATTAGTAATGGAGGTCCATATGGATATCAAGGTCGATTACCATGATTCAACCTCAGTTGCCCAGAAACCAAAATTGATCCATATGTTTTTGGCCCATGATGTCATTAAATCCATCATCTTAGATTCATCATCTTCAATTTCAACATTTTCTTAGACTGCCAAAAAATTTTGCTTCACCTCAGTGAATGTGCTGAAGTCATCAATCAGAGAGGATAGGTTGTAATTGGTACTTTTTCCTTATTTTCAGTCATTAAAATTGTTGATTTGAAATCTTGTTGATAGTGGACTCAACATTTTGTGTCAATTCTGGATTATCGCCTTGGTGGAGATTGAGAATCTCTTGGGGTTGAGACTTCTGGAATTTGCAAAAGTGCACTTAGCTGCATTTGCAACATCTAGAGAAGGTAAAAAGGATAACTGAGTGCCAAGAGGGGTAGAATCAATGTCCTCATTAGCTCAGATTACTCAGTCTGTTTTTTCCTAAGAAGGAAGTTCATGGAGATGATGCTGAGCCATGCCAAACTGATGGATGGCTATTAGTGCCAGTAATGCAACCATAGATGTTACCTTTCCATCCGAGGAATCTGCCTTTATGACAGTTATGTATGGTGCTGAAAACTTGGTAATTATTTTAGATTTCAAATTAACTTCTTTTCACAAGGACATCCACTTGCTCTAAATGTAGAGCTTTTCTCAGTCCAGACATGCTGCAATTTTCAGATAAGGTTGATAGTGCTTTTTGCTCTATTCTAGATGTTTGGATTTAAGTGTCCAAAAAAAAAAAGAAACAGATTTTGGAAATTGACCAGGGTGTTAATGAAATCACCAATCTTCTCAATTTTACTACAGCAATTCTTAGGCCAACTACATTGAAGCAAAGTACAGTCCACTAGGAAACATAGTTTAATTCAACCTTTTGGGAGAGGCATTCTGCCTTATTAAGAAGAATATTTTGTGCTGGACAGTTTGATATGTGGTTTAAGTGCACTAGGACTTAAAGTCAGAGCTGTTGTCACATTTGGAACACATGGATCAACATATCCAGGATTGGTTTGCGTTTAACACTGTTAGTTTTGTGGTACATGATTGCATTCTTATCTTCAAATAATATCCAATGCTTTTTTATTTTCAGTGTTACTTGTCAAAGTTAAAAAAATTTGTTTACTTCATTTCAAAGTAAATCTAAGCCTACACAGGTACACTCTGCAGACCTATTTGTAACTGTTTTACAACGACTGGAAGTTAATGACAGAAATAACTTTAATAATAAATTTATTCAAGTGTAAGTGAAATGCTAGCAGTTGCTTACCACTAATTGAGGACATTATCTAGAAGTAAAAGAATGATAAAAAAGTGAATCTTTAGTACAAATTAAATAGTGATACATGGACCTAATGGTAATTGGCATAATCAGTAAGCGTTAAAGGTATGCATGGTGGACCATTTATTACAAGGGTTTATTTTAAGGAATCTCCAATATATGAACAAGTAAAAAGCCAAATTAATGAAATGTTTTAAGCTTAATAAGTAACCCCAATGATAAAATAAAAAGAACATTAGATATTGTTTACAAACAAGAATGCAATCACGTACCACAAGATTAACAGTGATATACTATCAACAATCTTCACACACTACCAAATTTCCATCTCAGCCTCTTACTGTTTTTATTTTCGGTGTTAGAACATAATCATACCACTTTGTAGCAAATGTGCATATCTTTCACAGGTTTTGAATCCTTTACTTGAAAATTCATTCTGACTGGATGATGATGAGAGTTCAAAACCTACAAGAAACATTTTGAACACAAAACATCACCAAAAACATTACAAAATGGCATCATCACCAAAGGTAAGGGAAGATTTCTGTCTGCTTCAGAAGAACCTTCATCAAATGGATCTCACCTTTACTCAAATATGTGCTTGATAAAACTGCTGACATCCACTCATGTGGCTGCTGTAGCATCATTTTGCCCCACTCAGCCACCTTTAAAAAAACCAGTGCAACATTTCAACGCATACCCTATGTATACAGAGAACTTAATATTTCACTTAAGGTATTGTTGATGACTGATGCACTCAGTCTGTGCCTATTTTTTCTTTGTAATAGTTCTGAATAACATGTGTAAAACGTGCATTCTATCTCGTCATCACTTAGTGCAGGGATCCCATGAGATTGCGTAATCCAGTCCCAGAAGTCAATGCGAATCCTTTCCCGCTCAGTGGTGGACGTGTTTCTCAAAACTCCACAGTTTTCACAGTTTTTCTGGCTTTCTTAATAAAAAGTCAGGGTCATTTCAGATTTTTATCATCATAAATATCTTTAAAACCACACCATGCCGCAACCGGCCGTGGTTTCAAATGCAAACACAACAGAATTGCTGTCGCTCAACTCAGATGTAACTTCGCTGAACTCACGGAGTTCTTCAGCTGGTTCTATACAGGCCTCTACACAGAACGATACACAAACAACTAAAACAAAGGTAAAACCATCTTCTAGTGGTAAGGCCNCCCTAACATATACTTTTCAGTATTTGTTCACCTCTTTGAAAGTTGACTTCTGGGACTGGATTATGCAATCTCATGTGATCCCTTACACCTTGTGACGACTTGATAGAATTACCATCAAACTTCAACTTACAGGTAAGTCTCGCTTAATTCTCAATTATATGTATTAATGTGTTGTGTATTCACCATTCTCAAATTACATATCAGCAGTATTTTTCATTAGGCAAAGAATTATGTTTCAAGATGTGGTGCTATGATTGTCCCTCAACACACATCCACTTTATAGGGCTGCAACAGACATAAAGAAAGCATAATCCCTGACTTTTACCTTCCAAAATAAATACAAAGAGTCAGATATACCAGCAACTTTCAGCCTCCTTTATGCCTATCCTTTTTAGTGCAGAGTACACTACTTAGTCCGGCAGCATAGCTTTTGAATTGTGCGATTTTCAATACAAGCACCAAACCTTTTAGGATTATGTACATTGCCATACTGATCAATTCCTGTCATATTGCCAGGCTCAATTTGATAATTCCAGCTAGTTAGCGATAATTAGAGTTTTCACTGATTAGACCCCCCGCGAACTTCTTCTGAGAATTAACATTTTTCCTTTACTTTTTCACGTTATTGATGTACGTATGATTGGAATTGTTATTTTTCTCCCTTTTTTTATTCAAGTAGATGTAATTTTCCATCGAAAAATGTTGAATGAAAGGCCTTAATTTTCATAACTCTGCATTTCCCCTTTATTTCTGCAACACTTTCTCATAGTTCAGATGATAGGAGTAGCATCACATTCTGTTTAGTGCAGAGTGCACTACTGGGATAGTTTAGGGGGCTGCTCTTTCAGTCAGGCACTAATGCTATAACACAATAAGGTGTAAACTTTAATGTTTGTCTAATTAATTAATTTCAATTAATCAATTAGCCTCATGGGAACGAGGGCTTGGTGGGGTAGCTCAAAGGTGCCCGTGTGCATTGTGCAAAACGTGTCATACTTACCTTACTTTCTTTAATTACATGACAAATATATATGTGGTTTTGCAAGTCTCATGCTCTCCTTCTGATGCTATTCTCTTAGGAACAAAAGCAATTTGCTCCAAACGCATGCACAGATTAGTTAGCGTCAAAAGTCGGCTGTATGTTAGGTGCAAGATACATCTCATACAGGACTACCCACGAACATTGAGTTCTTTTCCTTTTGGTAGAACATAGCATGTAAGACGCATGCATTCTAGCATTGCTAGTGTGATAAACTCTGTTCTCGAGTTCAGATGCACACTTTTTTTATTTTTTGTAATGAGTGATACCACACTCTCGTTTTGGCCGGGGATAGCAGCTATATTTCAGGTAACGTCAGTGCTCCTTTTTAGTTGTGAAGAACGCTACTGTGTCTTCGTATCTTCTGGATCTTCCCTAACTCGATTCAAGAAATGTTGTCTGTTGTGTGTTTGCCAAGGCTCAAATAAAGAATGAACACATATTGCTTCTCCTTAGCAGCTTGTTTGTTTCCTCTTCTACAAAGAGACTCAAAAGTTCATATTCAGCTGAAACTTTCCCGCATTAGTCACACGTAAAACTAGTAAATTTGTGACACAAGAAACTTCGTTATTATTGTGGCAGACTCCGTGGCACTTACTGAAACCGTCAATTAATAAGTTTATTATACATTGAACTCACTATGTCTTTCCTGATTGGCCGAAAGCGTATGGTGAATTTTTGAAATCAGCGCCCATGACGTCATAACTGCAGATTATACAATAATCATGTCAAGAACACCCAAGGTCACAGGTAATCATGTCATATATGACTGAAGTGCATGATATCTAAGGGCAAACATGTCAAGTTCGCGCACTTTGTGCTGCTTGCTGTCAGTGAAGAAGCAAAAACATGACTTTCATTTTTTTTCCGTTCAATGTATAATAAAACAATTACTAGATTCGATTTTTGTGATATGTAGAATAATGGAGGTCTTGGGAAGGGTTATCTTCCTCAGCCTTCGGCTTTGGCTGATAACCCCTACCTCGACCTTGATTATTCTGGATATCACAAAACCCTCATCCAATAATTGTTTATTATCAGTTGATGAGGTGACTCGCTCACCGATGTGGGATATAATTTCAGTCAAGTAAAGATCTCTTCCTTCAATACCTCTTGTTGAAACTCTCCTCAGTTGTATGTATTACTTGATAGCATTGTGTATTCGTTCAACGTGGTGTTATTGTTAACACTGAAGCTGGCAACAGAATAAGAATGCACTATCCTGTGACTCGACGTGACTTTTTGATAATTAGATTAGTTTTGTTTATTGGTGAAATGAAAATTTGTGTTTTAAATAAAGCAAAATTGTTCCTCTTCGACTTTTCAGCAGATATTTATCTTTTATATTCCATTTATCTCCAGCAGTGAGTAAAAAAATAGACATCTTTCTTATATTTTTGTGGAAACAAAGGTATCTTGTTGCATACATTGGCGAGGAAAACAAAAGTATCAAATTACAAATGCTGGCATGAAAAGTAAAATTGTCACATTTGCTACAAAATGAACGAAACTCTACATAAAATACCATGATAAATTATAGTTAGCTGGACTGCAGGATAGAATACTAAAGCGTGCCAAATCCATTTAAGCTAATTAATTTTACCCAGTAAGTAGGTTGAATTTTCCCAAGAGAATTCTCTTTTAGACGTCACGCATGTAAAAATGATACGTTTCCTCAGTTCCATTGTTGTTGCTTTTGCTTTGCGTTTTTTTTTTTTTGCTGTCAAGTAAAACATACTGCAACCATATAATGATCGATGCCCTACTCTAAATTAATTTTGAGACTTTTGCTAACACTTCGTTTGCTTTCGGAAAGTGTGACAGAGTAAGAGTACATTTTCAGTTGATGATGAGCATTCTGATGAGTCTGAGGAACTTAGTGAAACAAAGCAGGTTTTTCGGATGAGTTAATATAATTATTATAACAAAAAGTTTCAAATTGTTAGTTGTGTTCTATGGCTTTGTTTTTGACAGTCTGAAAAAGTCAGTCTTAAACTCTTTGGTTTTGAACTCAGTGCTCTTAGGAGTGAAAGGGTATCTGCCCTTATAGCAATTATTAGTTGTTAAACTTGTATGTCTCCCTGTTCAGAGAGTGTAAGTGCACGTAGTATAAGTTGATGATGATTGTGATGATAAATTATGATTGACAGATATATGTTGTTGCTATAATAAGAGTCCATATATTCTTTTTTTCAATAAAGAAAAGTTTATTCACCTACTTGACATTGTGTTTTCTAGTTGTTCTAATGTATCAAGATTGTTAAAATAAAGGAATATTCCAATGATTATCCAATGAATACCAGCACTTTACAACGTTGGAAAATTTTTCTAGCACACCATAGTTGCTAAAGAATAATAACTATTCCATTAATTTTCCAGTGAATAACAACATTTCCCAATATTGGGAGATTGTTACAGTATACCAACGTTGGTGCAACAAAATAAATATTCCAATGGTTTTCCAACAAAAATGAGCATTTTCCAAGGTGGGGAAATTGTGCCAATATACCAAGATTGGTAAGACAAAATGAAACCTCCAATGATTTTTGAATCAATATTATTACCTCCCAATGTTGGGAGATTATTTTAACATACCAACATTGGTATTTATATCACTCCTCCAATGTTGGTATTCCAGTTAATCTACCAATAATATCCCAGTATAAAACCACTGATATTCCGAAATTATTCCAAAATTGGAATTTCACTTTTTTTCCTGTGGGAGGAAAATACAAGATGAACAGAATAAAATGTGTTGTTTCTTAGTGGAGACAACGATAATGAAAATGACCTCACCCTCAAGAGCGAGGTCACTGTGTGCTGTGAAGAGGTAGTGACGTGTCACTACCTGAAGTCAATATGCAGGCCATTACAGTTAAATGTAAGTTGGTTATATGTTTTTGGAGAGGTTGGGTAACTATTTGAACTTAATTTAAGTTAGATATTAGGGTGGTATAGTGTATTTTTTCTGAAATGTTAACTTGAAACAATGCCCTAATCAGTTTTTGTTATTCATTATTTTGTAAAGTGCTGTTTAAGTGAAATATGTCTAAAGTTTCATGATTCTCCATACCAAATGATCTCAGTGTAATCTTAATGCATTGCCAAGACACTGAAAGCACAGTGGATACAACTCTTCATTGTACCTGCTAATTCAAGACCTCCAAGAACAGTAATTGCACATTTAAGTTTGTTCATGATTGTATATGTTCCACACATGCATGCCCCATGACAACATGTTATGGTATGCACCTGTTCAACTAACAATGGATGTTACTCTAAATATGCTGCTAAAGACATCTTCCAGAAACCATTCTCCACAGTCTACATTTTTATTACTAAAGAAGAATTCCAAAAAACAATTATGGATGTCACTTTAAATATGTCATTCAAGTCATCTGCAAAAAGATCTGTTCAAATCAGACTCTGCTGTGTCT